AATTTTTCAGGCGGAAATTTCCGGAGGTCATGTGATATTCCGTAAATCGACGCCTAATTAAATTTCCTGATGTATGAGTATCCCGTTAATCGAAGGAGGTAGCAGCCCCACAGGTGGCTCTTCGAGTTATAAAGCCAGCTCCTCTAAAAATAACTTATCTAAATCAACAGAATCTAAACCTAGTCTAGCTCAAGAGGAGGTTATGAATATAATTAACAAAATTCTCTTAAATATCGAAGATAGACTCGAAGAGTCACTGCTTTGTAATAATAAACAACGAATATTTCACAACATACCTCCTGCACATACACCATCCAGAAGATTAAATGACGATCTCAGTAGAGAAATTAAAAGGGCAACCCGGAATCTGAAAAAAACGATGCACATACCCCACGATACGACCCAAATTTGAATTGAGGAAATTAGTAAGTATATGGTAGTATGGGTAAGTCTCAAAACAATATGCGTAAAACGATGGGTAATTTTACTGACAGTCCATCCTAGTACATGAATCTGCTTAATCCAAGTAAATATGAACACACGTATGACCCGAGGAATAACTTTGTGGTGGTTGAAAATAAAAGTAAGGGAAGTATAGTAGGTGTATTTGATTATACTGAACTATATGTATACTTGAAAATGCACCACCTGACACTTCTGGCATAATTTCATTTTGTAGTAAGATATTTTAATTACATTGATAAACCGCGATCAGGATAATCAGATTTTTTACATATGACATTGCATGTTTCTATTACCCGTGATTGAAGCATGTGTTTGTGGTAGCGTGAGATGCCGAGTCGAAGTGTCATTTATTCCAAAATAGATGCATACAAACAAGAACTGTGTGATACATATGAGGAATTGCTGATTGTCGGCGATGTATGCACACGATTTTATAGGTGAGCGATCATCCGATGCACATAATTAGTACGAAGACATCATATTTTGTGATCATTAATAATCTATTGCCTCGATTTAGTATGAGATGTAAAGAACCAATGCCACGGATCGTTAATGCTGGGTTTTAATGTATAAAAACGGATCGAGATTGCAGGGATTTGGGTAAGAAATAAAATATTGTTAAAACGATC